ACTGTTGATCCTCCAGGGGCTGAGGTCAGTCAAGGGGCAGAGACTCTCTGTCACTTCTGAGATCTCTCCAGAAAACTGGCCAGGCACATGTGTGTGTGGAGGGGTATGTACAGGTCTATATGTGAATATGAGTGCATATGTTTATGCACACGTGTGAGGAGACCAGGGTATAACCTCAGGTGTCTTTCCTGAAAAACACTGTCCATCTTGTCTTTTGAGACAGGGTCTCTTATTGGCCTGGAACTCGCCAATCAGGCAAGGTTGGCTGGCCAGCAAACCTGGGGATCCTCTTGACTTTGTCTCCCCAGCACTGAGATTACAAGTGTGTGCTGCTGTGCCTTCCTTTTCACATGGGTTTTGAGGATTTGAACTTGGGTCCGCACGCTTGCACAGGAAGCACCTTGCTGACTGAATTCTCTCTCCAGTTCCCTGACTAGGTACATTTTTTTCGCCTTGAATTTCAAGGATGGTGTTAGATATTCTAAAGACAGTTTATGGGGTCTAGGCTAAGACTCTGTGTGTGTGTGTGTGTGTGTGTGTGTGTGTGTGTGTGCAGAGGCCACAAGAAGACTTGGGTGTCCTCATCACTCTCTGCCTTACTCCTTTGAGGCAGGGTCTCTCCCTGAACCTGGAGCTCATGAGCAAGCCTCAGCAATCCTCTAGTCTCTGCTCCTCTTAGTGCTGGGGTTGCAGGTGTGCATAGGACCTTGCCTGCCTTGTTATGTGGGTGTTAACTGCTGAATCATATCTCTACACCCCCCCCCACTTTAGGGGGACAAGGTCTCATGTATCCCAGACTAGCCTCCAGCTTATTATATAGCTAGGATGATGCTGAACTTCTGATTCCCCTACTTCTACCTCCCGAGTGTACCAGGGCTTTGTGCATGCTAGGCAAGCACTCTATCAACTGACCTCCCTCTCCAGCCCTACAGACCAAGGACTCTTGCTGTGGGTACCATTAGGCCACCAGAGAAGGTCCCTAAACCTCAGCCTGTCCATCAGACCTTTTATCATTCATCAAATTTTCACCCATCTTTCCCCACATTCTTAACAGGCCTGAGTCACATTGATACGCATAGCACCATATGTTCTGTGCTTGTCTGGTAGAAATATTGAGTCATAATTTTTGTTTTTATTAAAAACCTCATTTTTCCAAAGCCTACTTCTCTTTAAACATATTTTAATTCTATTTGCTCTTCAAGCTTGTGTACATTTTTGTGACTGGATTGGCTCATTCGTAAGGATCCCTGGGGGAGAAGCCCTGAACATTCTTCTTGTGTAAGTCATGTTAATATATTCAGTTTACGAACCCGTTCCTGACATCTGTGTTTTTCCTGAGATGGGAAAACTCTCTTCTGCTCCCTTGGAGTCCTGTGAGCCCATTGACATTGCTTTGTAGGTGAAAATAAAAGATTGTGAGTGCACAAAGGCACCCAGGAGAGAAGCAGCAGCTGCCGCAGAGGGAGGACAGAGAATGGATGAGCCCATTGCTTGGCTGTGGAGAGTGATATTTAGATCATATGGCAGTTGTTAATACCTTTGGGGGGGGTTGTTTGTTTTGTTTTCTTAAATGTGTATGTTTTGCCTGCATGTATGTGTACCACATGTGTGCAATACCCATGGAGACCAGAAGAGGGCATTAGATCCCCTGGAATTATAGACAGTTGATAACTGCCATGGGTGCTAGGAAGCAAACCTGAGTCCTTTGCAAGTGCTCTTAATCACTGAGGCAACTCTTTTGTTTCCTAAGATAATGTCTCATATAGTCCAGGCTGGCCTTAAACTTTGCTAAGTAGCCAAGGAGGATCTTGAACTTTGATCCTCCTGCCTCTACCTCCCAAGTGTTAAGATTATACATGTGCACCACCACACCTGGTTGATGCAGTGGTAGGGATCAAACCCAGGGGTTTGTACATGCTAGGCAAGCAATCTACCAACTGAACTGTATCTATAACTTAGTTAGTTAACAGTATCTTCAAATTCCATGTCAGAAAAGCAGAATTTGAAAACTCTTGCCTTGCAAAAGAAAGATTTTGAGCCTTTAACTTCCATGTACAACCTGCGGCTTCAAAGCCTCCATTCCCCGTGGTGCCTATGAGCAGTGGATACTTTGTGGACACTAACAGATTGTGTTCACATTGTCAGTTAACCTGAGTGTGTCCTATTTGTCTCCTTATACCCCAAATATGAACCTGGGAGGGGCCATATAGGGAGGGTAGCTTGCCTTTTGTGCAGAGGGATTGAACCCCAGGTGGGTGGAACCACACACCCTGTAAAATACTATCAATGTTAATAAGTGAAACTGTACGTGTGTGTGTGTGTGTGCGTGTGTGTGTGTGTGTGTGTGTGTTTGAGACAAGGCCTCACTCTGTAGCTTGACTGACTTTAAACTCATGGCAAGCCTCCAGCCTCAGCCTCCTAAGTACTGGGATTACAGGTGTGAGCTACCATCCCCTGCTTCTTTTGGTCTTTAAAAAAACTGCTTTTACCCTTGTGGTTGGATAGATTTGTTTATAATTCATTCTGTTACTATTATGATGACTACTATAGTACTATTAATAATAATAATAATAATAATAATAATAATAAATAATAATAATAATAAAGCAAGTTCTCAAAAGCTGTGAGAGACAGCAAATGGTGGTGGGTCCTTGTCTGAAGTTAGGGAAAGTTTGCTAAGGCTCAGTGTCAGCCATGGGGTGACACTGGCTCCCCATGGCTCTTCTTTCCTCACAGCACATCACACCACCCCAGGAGCTCTGGCCACCATTCTCCCAGGATGAGTCCATCCTGGGTCCTGTGCACCAAACTTCATTCTTTCCATTGCTGCTTGTGTGTTGAGTGAATTCAGATCCCACCCAAGGAGTGGCACAGGGGTTTCTGGTGTGGAACTGAACTGGGAGGGGCTATAAATGTTTGTATTGTTCTCAGTGTTTGGTGGCAAGATCTTGCAGAAGACCTTTTGGCCACTCAAGTCAAGGACAGGCCGGGTTTAACTTTCAAGTAGACTGGACCGCACAGGAATATGTGTGTGGTTGTGAACAAGTACGTCCCAGTGAGTGTGGTAGTGGATGGGAAAGATGAAGATCTCCCTGTGCTGTTGGCTTGTGGGCCAATGGGAAGTTCATCTTCAGAAGCAAGGGCGGTTTGTTTCATAGAGTGGTGGCACTCACCACTGCTGGGTGCTTAGCTCCCAGTCACAGCTTTCTGACAGCAGCAGATGGCCGGTAGTTCAGGACCATCTTTAACCTTCAGCTCCATCAATTTTGGTTAATTTCTGTCATTTTCCTCCTAAAGCAAGATGCCCAGGTGCACCCCTCCCCTTTCTCCAGCTGCCTTTGGGACTCTGCACACACACACACACACACACACACACACACACACACAGAGGTACCTGTTCCCTGAGTACTTCAAAGGGAGTAACACTGTAGTTCCCTTGACCCTGGGAGGGATGTGTGTCCTAGCTGAGTGACTTCAGCTGGGTCAGATTGGAAATTCAAGGGGTGACCTGAGCACCCATGGGACACTGGCCTGCAACCCAGAGGAGGGAGCGAGGGAAAGCAGAGGAAGGTGATTATAAAGGTGGCCCTGTGAACTCCAGCCTTATCTGCTCAACCACCACACCACAGCAGAAAGGGCATGTGTCAGTGAGGTGAAGCTAGGGCATGGGGGTGTGCACCCTCAAGCTCCTGACTGTAAACTAGGTTCCCTGTGTACAAACCCAGAAACCCTTACTTTCTATTCCTCTCCTGAGTGTTTTTGCTAGCACAGAGCAAATGAGTGCACCTTGATCGTTCTGAATGTTCTACCCAAGCAGCTTACCAGTACTGTCCTATAACACGCATGAGGAGGAGGCTGGCTTTGCTGAGGCCTCCCCCTGGCTTATTTAGAGGAAATGAAGGACCACTTGAGGGATGTCTATGGAAAATTCAATTTGAATTGAAATTTTAAAATACCCACTGATACCCTGTGTGTGTTAGGAGTATATTTAGATGTAAGAGGTTTCTGTCTAATAAGGTTAATAAATCATTGGAACTTGCAAGGACATGTGGGCAAATCTATGTCTTTTTATACTTAATATGTTTTGAATTCTTGCATTTCTGTGTAATAAGCTCAATATGTCTAATCTGTCAATCATAACTGGACACAAATGTACAACGTTTGAAGAGTGTTTCTGCTAACAGACAGTAATTTTAATCACTCAGGAGAATCTAACTTCTAGTTATAAACAAAAACTTATATTACGTATAAAGTGTACTGGCTGTGTAAGTTCATAGGCTGTTCAGCAGTAGGCAAGACTGGGGGTTCATATCTGTGCAGTTTGTGTGCTGGCAGGGGTGCCCAGCCATTTGGCATTATGTGTGACACAGTGTTGTCATGTACAAAGTTCACATTCAGAGCTCTGTAAATAAGTTACAAAAAAAGAAAAAAGAAAAATCATGGGCCAGTGAAATGACTCGGGTAAAGGTGATTACTGCTAGGCCCGATTACCTGATTCTGTTCCCGGATCCCACGTGGTGCACAAAAGTGCCAGCTCCTGCACCTTGCCCTCTGACCTCCACACACACACCATGGCATGTGCACACACAGACACACATGCACAAACAAACATAGAATATCTTTTTTAATCACAAAACATTATGTTTTCAGGAAGTTTATGATTTGCGTAGCTGTTCTTGCCTGCAAGTTGGACATACCCGATAGTTTACTAAAAGGCATACATGCTTTTTGTTTGCTTATTTTGTAAGTCAAAGACAGTCCTTCAGCCAGGAGGACTATCAGAGATGAAGGGTGGGTGACAAGAGACATGCAGGGCCTGTGGGCACGGGGCCTGACCTCTAGGAGGCTGAGCCTCTACCTGGCCAAGGGAGTACTATGCAGAGACATGTCCTGCGAACAGCGGAGGGTTTGTGAGTCATTGATGGCTAAGCATCCAGCTAAACTATGTGTCTAATTTCTGACAGAACTGATGATCATTTTCAATGGTGATTTCATTTTAGCCAAACTCAGGCCCTGAACTGGTTTTGTCTGAAGATGAACAAAGTGACAATGAAGATAAGGAAGAGACAGACTTGGGCGTCATGGAGGATCAGCGCAGTATAATCCTTCACCTCATCTCGCAACTCAAACTTGGAATGGATTTAACTAAGGTGAGTTGAAGGGTGGTCCCCGTCATCGGGGCTGTCTCCGTCCTTAGTCCTTTTCCGTTCACTCTTCACTGTGAGGAAGCGGGGAAGGCAGAGTGGAGAAAGTCCAGCACTGATTTCTAGTGCTGGTATTTCAGGAGTATCTGGAGATCTTACACATGTACATACCATATACACACCTCACATCTCACACACACACATCTCTCACACACATACCACATATAGGCACACTCACACCACACACATACCTCATACCACATACACACACAAATATACACACCGCACACAGACACCTTACACCACATACACAAACACATATAAACACACCACATATACACCACACAGACATCTTATACCACACATACACACATAATTACCTCACACCTCACAGACACTTCACACCACAGACACCTTATACCACACATATACAGATACACATACACAGATACCTCAAATACCATACACATGCATACACACAGAGAGATAACACACACACATATAAAAGCACTTCACAACATACACAGACACCTCACATAATGCACATACAAACACCTCACACCACATAGACAGACACCTCATACAGACACATATACACAGACACCTCACAACACAGACATACACAGATACCTTATGTGCCACACATAGACACAGATACACACAGAGACTTCTCATACCACATACATACACACAGGCATAAATACCTCACGCCACACACACAGACACACCTCACACCACACACAGACATAGACACCTTACTACACACTACACACACAAACATCACTATACACAGACACCCTGGCATACACACAGACATCTCAGACCATACATATACACACAGAAGGTCCCCTGATAGAGCTGAGGCTGGACTTGAATTCCTGATCTTCCTGCCTCAGTCTCCTGAGTACTGGGATTACAGGTGAGTACCACCACTCCACCACTTCTGGCTTTCACTCTTTCCTTCCTTCCCTCCCTGCTGTCTGAAAAGAAGGGTGTTAGAGCATGGTTGCTGGTCACTTGGCATGGTGACCCATCACTTGGAGATAACAGGGAGAGACAGAGAAGACAGGGGTTCAAAGATAACCAATAACCTTCTTTTTGATACTTCGTGAGTTTTTTTTTGTTTTGATTTGTTTTTTTGAGAAAAGATCTCATGTAGTCAAGGTTGCTCTTGAACTTGCTACCTAGCTAAGGATGACCTTGAGCTCCTGATCCTTCAACCTCCATCTCCCAAAATGCTAAGATTATACATGTACATCATCGCACCCAGCTCTATTTTGTTTTGGTTTTGTGTTTTGAATTTTTGGTTTTTCTGAGACAGTCTCCCTGTACACCAGCTGGCCTGTAACTTGCTGGGCAGATCAGCCTCAGGCCTCAATCTCACAGAGATCGTCTGCCTCTGCCTCTTAAGTGCTGAGATTAAAGGTATGTCAGCCACACCTGGCTTCATTTTGTTTTTCAAAGGAACAAGGCTGGCCTCATCTCACTTTGTAGCCAAGGATAACCTTGATTTCTGATCCTACTGCCTCCACCTCCTGAGTGCTGGCATTGCAGGCCTGTCCTGCCGTGCTTGTTTTTTAGCCTGAGTAGACAGGACCCCACTGTCCACAGGCTTCAGACAGAGGCGAGCCCCCAACAGCTGTACTCTGGAGGGACCTGGGGGACCCTCCCAACACACAGGCCTTAGCTGCCAGAGGCACCGACCCCAGCCCCGCCAGGCCACGGACCCTGAGGGGGCAGTGTCACCCTCCCGCCCACTCCCCGTGGGTGACGCTTGCCAGGCAGACCTTACTCACTCAAGTGTCTACTGTACCCCAAGCTGCCCAGTCTTTTTTTATGTGTACACATGTATTGCCTGCATTTAGATAGGGGCACCCGTGTTGTGCAATGCCTGCGGAGGACAGAAGAGGCTGTCGGATCCCCTGGGACTGGAGTTAGGACAGTTGTTAGCTGCCATGTGGGTGCTAGGATTTGAACCTGGTCTTCTGCAAGAACAACCAGTGTTCTTAACTGCTGAGCCATCTCTCCAGCCCCCTGCCATGCTTGTTTTTATGTAGTTCTGTGGATCAAACCCAGGGCTTTATGCATTTGAGGCAAGCACTCTACCACTGAGCTATATCCCCAGCTCAGAAGCTTGGCTTGAAATGTCTTTATGGGTCTGAACAAAAGTATGTCTTGTTAGTCTCTGGGAGACTGTGCGTCTCTAACTGGCCCACCCCTCGCTTCTCCTGCAGTGCATGGCTGTTCCCTGCCTTTCCATTAAGGAAGGCCTACGCTCCTTCCTGTTCCTCCTGTAATTTCAATCTTCTAGGTGAATAATTGTTACTATTTTTCTGCTAAAAAATGCTTGGCTTTTTAAAGGCTGCCTATCTTTTGTCCTTGGAGATGACGTAGACCCTGAGATGGTACTTGAGTTAATGCTGATGGTATGTGGGTGGTAAGGTCCCTGAGTGCCATCTAAAAATCGCAGTGTTTCCAAATTGTGGATCGCGACCCATCAGTGGGCTGTAAAACCAATTTAGTGGGTCAGACAGACTATAATTTCTAAAATGTGAAATATGATAGAAAATTTCAGAGTCCGTTACACATGAAGCCTTTATCTCAGTTCTATTGTGCTGGGTCACAGTGTAAAGTGTTCTCGTGGCTGATCAGAGTTTTAGAAGCATTTGTAAAACCCGGGGCCAGAATTGTGGATGATAGGAGAGACTAAGAAAATGAAATTGCTCAGGTCAGATATGGAGGAATGAAAAGGAAAACCATCAAGGGAACTACCTGATGGCAAGGTGGCCGTCCAAGAAACTCTATGTTACGGCTCTTGTCTTAAAATAAGTCATTAGAACTGTGCATTTTGCATTATTATTTCATTAAGTTGTAGTTGCATTTCCAGAGGCATGGTTTAATTCCAAACAGCAAACACTGCATTTATCCAATGCCCCATGGGTTACCTGGAAGAAAACTGTCCCCAGCCTAGAATGTATTAGCATGTACACTACCAATAAGAAGCCATTATGAAGAAACCATGGGGAGGGCTGACAAGTTGGCTCAGTGGGTAATGACACTTGCTGCCAAGCCCGATATGACCTGTGTTCAATCCCTGGGACCCACATGGTGGAAAGAGAGAACTGAATCCTGCAGGCTGTCCTCTGATTTCTACAGGTGTGCTTAAGTGCATGCGCAAGTACAAAGTGAATAAACTGGGAAAAAAGAAACCAAAGGGGAATCTGACAAACTGAAATATCTTGAGAGGAAGAGCCTTCTGTGACTACAAGAGGCGATTTCTTGCTTCCATACCTTGCACTGTAAAAAGGCTAGTAGCGTTCTTTCAGAACTGTCTCTTTGCTTCTGGCTCCTGCCCTGGTCATTAAGCTTTATACTGACAAGGAAGAAGGACGGGTTTCTATGTAGTTGGTCAGGGAGGGATGTGCAAGGCAGCCATCAGCATGAGCGTGTTCATTCATTGAGCACTCGTCTGTTGAGCCAGGGCTCAACATGCCAGGGCTGGTTCTAACAGTGGGCTTGCAGCAGTCAGGTTGATGATCAAGATTAACCATCAGAATTTGTATCCTGATGGATGCCTGCCAAAGACCCTCTGCTGCATGGAAGGAAGTAAGGCTGCCAGAGGGTGGTGGGCAGGACCTGGTCTACCGTGGTGGGCCTGGTTAGAGCAGGGCCTACCACTTGCAGGGGAGGCTACAAGTCACTACAGAGCTGTTTATAACCAAATGGACTCCTCTGGGATATAACATAAGTTCACATGTTAGATTGAGGGGAATCTTCTAGAACAGTGAGTTGGGGGAGGGGCAGTGCTTTCAGAGGATGTTAAGTGGTTCCAGAGACTAGGCAGGAGCTTGAGACGAGATTGTGATTTTAAAAGCACAAGGCAGAGTGTGCTTTTTGGATGGCTTGTTTGGATGGTGAGGTTCTTAACTCTAAAGATGCCCAGTCCATACCTCACAAACAAAGAATGTATCAGAGCTAGAATTATATGCCTGTAATTCTAGCATGAGGGAGGTGGTGGTAGGAAGAGAACAGCCTGTACAAAAACCAAAACAAAACAAAAACGTGGTGGGCAAGATTCACAGCTTAACAGAGAGGCCAGATGACATAATGAAGTTTCTATTCACTCCAAACTCTTTCTTTTCAGCAAAATATGCTAATGAACGCCTTTCATAATAGGCCAGGCACCTTAAAATGGGTATGAAGGGATTCAGCACCTTAGGGAAAGGTAAGTCAGGAAGCAAGGCTGGGGGGTGGGGGGCTGGGGAGATAGCTCAGTCACTAAAGAACGTGCCTTGCAAGCATAAGGAAGGACCTGAGTTTGAGCCTTAGAAACCTGAGTTTTAGAAACTATGGGCATGGTTACATGAGTATGTAATCCCAGAGCTGGGGAGGCAGAAATGGGTGGATCCCTCATGCTTGCTGTCAGCCAGCCTAGTTATTTGGCAAGCTCCAGGGCAGTGAGAAACCCTGTCTCAAAAAACAATGTGGATGATGCCAGAGGAAGAATATTCAGTGTTGTCCTCTGGCTTCCGTGTGTACCCACATACACGTATACACCTGCACACACATGAATGCACACACACCAAAAAGAAAAAGGAGGAGGAGGAGGAAGAAGGGGAGGTTTTTTTTTTTGTTTGTTTTGGTTTTTTTTTTTGTCTTTTTGAGACAGGGTCTCCCTGAAGTCCCAGCTGGCCTGGAACTCACTAGGTAGACCAGGGTGGCCTTGAGCTCACAGAGATCTGCCTGCCTCTGCCTCCTGAGTGCTAGGATTAAAAGTGTGCACCACCACCCCTGTCTTAATCTTCATTTTGTAAAGTTCCCTGGCTTTCTAAAAGTTCATAAATGAACCTTAGTGGGTGGCTCCTGGGCTCCTGTGCTTGCTAGACTGGTGCTGGGTGTTCACTGATCTGAAAATAAAGCATCACCTACATGGCTCCTGAGGTTGTTAACTGATGGGTCTTTGAGGAAAATTGCACCTGTTCCCAGCATCTTTCATAGGAACCTGG